TATATATATATATATATATATATATATATATATATGATTTAAAAGATTACATAAGTGTTGATAGTTATATTCAAACCCAATCCAATAGAAATTAGTCACTCATGATATGAAGGCTCTAACTAATACAAAGATGAAGAATACAAGAAGAAAGAAAAAGAATATGGACTAGCAAAGACCCTTGTTCTCACAAGGGTATCAATCTTCCAAAATCTCCTTCAAAACTCCTATCTTTTTCTTTGATTTTCTATCTCTATCTCCTATTCCTACTATCCTCCCCTTCTTCTCTCCCTGTTTTGCTATTTATATGATCTTTAAAAACAAAGAAAAGTTGAAAATCTTAACTTCACTGCTACAACCATGGATCACAACTGCAGTGGTGAAGAGCCCTTCAAAGTGAAGAAAGCTCTCATAACTTGGGACGTGATTGAGCACTACGGTATTGAGATCATCTGTTCTTAGCTTCTTCCAGATTTTCACTACTATGGTTGTAGACCAGTGCTATCGTCATAGTTCTTTGACTTGTTTATTCTTTCTCCATCCTTCACGACTACAATCATGAGTGAACATCGTGACATTAGATCTCTAACTTTGTTGTATTTTCTATATAAAAAGAGAAAATTTAATTAAAAATTTATCACACAGTATATTTAACATTTTTTTTAAATTACTAATAAAATCATAGGAGAATTGTAATTAAATATACACAATAATTTCAAAAAAATATCAAATATAAAATAGAATCACGTATCTCATTCACTCATAATCTCAGGTTTGCCAAAGCTTACACGACTTCCTTCTCGTAGTGTGTGGCTCAAAGAAACCGTTCACTCCATTTCTGTTAGCTGCAACGTACCTAAATTATGGTACATGCTTGCATGATAGAAAATAGTTTAAAGCCTCCACGTAAAGAGTCAAATTGATGTGCAGTGTCCACATATCCTACGTAAGCTGAGGGCAGTTCATAATGGCAAAAAATGAAAAGTTTTTTTCTTTTTTTTATTGAAAAATAATGTATTAACACATTTTTTTATATATAAGTTTATTGTAGTTTTCAATTAAAACTTTCTAAATATTGACTTTTAGAACAATGATTAGCTAGACTTTTTTTCTTTTTACATATAACACACTTATTATATAGTACTAAGAAAAAACTTTGCTATTCCAAGGGCAAGTTCACATTGGTTTGTGTCTGCTCTGTATGAGAGCCAGTGGGAGTGTCAATTGATCTTATCCATGGCGACTTATTTCAATATGTGAAACATGAGTGGACTCATTTCATTAATGATCGATCAGAGGTATTTACTATTTGGCATATATGCATATTGATTGACTTAAAAAGAGGTTTGATGTTTTATTATTTTTTCTTCTATCTTACACCTCTAAATATTCATTATTTAACACTAACATATAGATGTTAATCGGCAAACTTAAAACATTGATTAAAAAGGAAACACAATTTTCATTAAATAAATGATGTGGGTACATCAGATTCAGAGGCAAAAGCGGTATTAGCCATTTGACATCATGAAGAACTTGGTATAGATTTTGTTTCCTATTGATGGAGCTACATATGTATAGGCCTAGGCCGGTTTGCTTTTGTCAATCTTCTTCTGACACGACAAAGAGAGAACAAAACAGATATATATCACAGGCTAAACAATTCGATAATTAATTAATGTTAATATTTTGCTAATGTCAAATGTTAGGGCAAGTATGCAATATAGACAATCGTTCAGCGAATAAAACAATTCCAGAATCGCGAGTAAAGAACTTGTTTTTGTTTGTTTAACAACGCAACGGAAGCAAATTTAATAATATAGTATTTATAGCATATCCTATGTGCTATTAAGAAAGACATCGAAAAGAATTTTAGTTGCACTTGCACCATTATATATTAATTAATATATGATTTTGATAGAGTATCATTCCGGGGAGTACCAAAATAAACTCAAACCCAATAATAAAATATTGCATGATCAGAGATTATTGTTAATGGCAACGAGTTAATTTCAAAATTTCCACATCTACTCTAACTATAATTTGAGGAAACTAACGTTTATAAAAAAAATACATTAAATTTCGCAGTCATAACAAAAAAAATCATTGTGGATGAAATAAAGGTTGTTGAAGGTTTCTCTTTTGCTAAAAATATGGTAGTCTCTCCTTTTAAAATTATCATATTAGTGTAATATTTTTTAATAGTATAAAATAAATCGTATTTATAGAGTATGTCTTTTATTTTTATTTTTTACACGATAACACAAGTGATTTGTGATGGTCTACAATTGCTATAAATGACTGTGGGGTCTAAAACAGTAAAAAACTATTATTATGTATAGACTACTATATAAAAATATATATCTAAGTTACTTGAAGAAACAAAATAATAATTGCATTAATCTATGAGTACGAGTGTACGACGTATCTCGTATATATTAGTATTTTCTCAAAACTAGTTGAGATTTTTAAAAGATGCTTACAGCTTACATTTTGGTTAAAAAGTCGTTGTTGAATGAAATATAATAATAAAAATCATTCACCCATTTAAGAGTTAATTAGTAAAAGTGACACGTCCCTTTGTAACTCATAAATTATAGTCCATCCAAAGTCTCACAAAATTAAATCGATGGTGAAAAGGTGTTATTCTATTTTTTTAATAGTCTCTCATTGAATATTACAAACTTTATGTTTATATATAATAATAACTTATTACATAATATCCTAATATTAGATAGTCTTAATTCATATAGTTAGTCTCAACATAACATGAATTAGGTGTAATTATTTTTTAAAAAAATTGAAAATTTAATCGTATATTATATAATAATTAGTTAGACCATAGACATTTGATGGTTTTGGACCACCTCATAATTTAAAGACTCAACTAAGAGAAACTAATAAAAATTATAATTATTATTCTAATTATATGTACATCTGTAACTGTATATGATGCTTCAACTTACATGTGCTATGAGTTTAGTGCACATACACAGGTGCAACTAATTTGGTGTTGGCTTATATTCACCCTTAATTAGTGACTCCCATCGCAAGCTGGGATGCAAATACTAACTATATAGTCCTAACTTGGTCACTTTAAGATAACATGCACTTTCTTGTTACGTGACAAAATTAAAAACATAAGCAGAAATGTACGAGAAAATATGTGTGGGTAGTTGAAATCAATTTCTATTTGAACTTGTCTTGTGATTTTGTTTGTTTGCGGGGTGAACCCTTTTACTACCCCTATAGGAAGAACTTTTCCTTGTGATCTTGTTCTCTCTCTATATACATAACTCCTGTACGTGTTCTTCATCATCTTGTTCTTGTCTCACACATATATATATACATTTCATTAACGTGGCTTTGCACAGAAAGTTGTAGAGAGAAGATGAATAAGGAGGAAGCAGCAACACTGCTTAGAAAGAGTGAAGTGGCACCTTCAGAAGATGCATTTTGGACAGAGTTCAAAAGGGTAGGGTCCATGGCAGCTCCAATGGTAGTTGTTAACATGTCTCTGTTCCTTCTGGAAGTTGTATCACTCATGATGGTGGGGCATCTTGGGATACTTGTCTCCTTCTCTGGGGTTGCCATTGCCACCTCTTTTTCTGAAGCTACTGGCTTTTGTGTTCTTGTAAACCCTTCTTCCTTCTCCATATTTTTTTTTGTTCCATGCACCTACCTATGTTTTACTTTAGTCTACTTTCCATATTTTTCAAATTTATACTAGTGCAAACTATATATCTTTTCTCTGCAAAGTTGTAGTGTGTGAGGATTCAAGAGTGGCTCAGATTAGGTCACTCTCTCTTTATCTTTTCAATTTTTGTCCTTTAATTAGGAAACTTTCTTTGGTTCTCTGGGAGAGGGACCAGGGCACTTGATTTGGTTTTTCAGTTAGTACATAGGACTAACATACTAGTAGCCAAGTCACAAGCGAAAAGAATAATAAAAGTTCAATTACTTTGATCTTTAATTGATTCACCTTTATTTTGTTAATTTTATGTTAGTATAAGAGTAAATATCTTTTACACAGTCGGTGTATAAAAATTAAACTCCTAGTATAAATCATGTTTCACTTGGAAAGGTGTCTAATCTAGTTCATGGAACTTGCATAAAAACCTTTGCATGCAGATTAAAGGAAAATTTTGAAACTGTTTTTTGTTTTAATGTTTGATTTAACTGATGAAACTTCCTTAGTCCCGTGTCAAAATTTAGAGAGAGAACCTGCAAAAGCAGTTGAATTGAAAGATCTCCTATTCAAATTTCTAGTGTAGCCAAGGTTTTAAATTGTTGTAACCGTTTCTTATCAACTTTTAAAATTGTGGGAAGTTACAATCCAATGCGGCTGTGGTTGTGATCACAAATATTCCAAAAACCTTAGATGTTGTCGTTGAAATTACAATCATTTTTTAAAACTATGAAGTTAGATAACAAACCTAAACTCAAATACTAAGATGATATCGGAGTTTATTTTATTAATTATTATTGAGTCTATAACAAATTTAATGTCCTAGATACCCAGTTCTTGACATTACATATGTGCGTCGAAGATCTTATATTAACTAGAGGATAAAATCATAGCCTATCCTAGATATATGAAAAAGTCATCCACTATATTATCCATGCACTAAACTCAATAATGCTGAGCCTAAGAGGGTGTATATGAAAACACCCAAACCCAATTCTAAGAGTAACCTTAATTACTTTGATTTGCTTCTACAGTTCTAAATTAATCTACACTCTTTAGTTCTTGACAACTCTTGACAAGATTTCTAAATGGCTTGCAGCTGGGAATGGTTGGTGCATTGGAAACTCTATGTGGCCAAACCTATGGTGCAGAAGAATTTGGAGAGATGGGAAACTATACTTGTTGTGCAATGCTCACTTTGCTTTTGGTTAGTCTCCCTATATCTCTGCTGTGGATGTTCACTGATAAAATACTATTGCTCTTTGGTCAAGACCCTGAAATTTCCCATGCAGCTCGTGAATACTGCATAAGCTTGATCCCTGCACTGTACGGCTTTGCTGTTCTTCAATGTCAGATTCGCTACTTCCAGACTCAAAGCATGACCTCTCCAATGGTTTTCAGCTCAGTTGCGGTTCTGTGCTTGCATGTTCCTATTTGCTGGGTTCTGGTATTTAAATTGGGACTTGGACATGTTGGAGCAGCATATGCTATTGCAATTTCCTATTGGTTAATTGCCATTGGACTTGGAATTTATATGAAATATTCTCCAGCATGTGAGAAAACCAAGATTGTGTTTTCTGTTAAGGCTTTACTAAGCATTCCAGAGTTCTGCAAATTTGCTATTCCTTCTGGACTAATGTTTTGGTAATGTATTGTTATTGACATTGCATCTCCCATACCACTTATACAACATGGTTCTTTCAGTTTCTTTTCATCTCCTATTTGATTTTCTTTATTGTTTCATTGTTGATAGTTTTGAAACGTGGTCATTTGACCTACTTACATTACTTGCTGGACTTTTACCTAATCCACAACTCCAAACCTCAGTTCTTCTCATCTGGTGAGTGACAAAACATACATGTAGCTTTTTAGGTGTTTGTTTTCCCCATCAGAATTATAATTTCATTTCAGTAATATGCATAATAAATAATTCCACAAATTGTCAATACATATTATAGTTATAAAACTCTAATTCTAATGGGAGAAGACACTTCTTTTAACACACTATATTAATTGTTAAAATTTATTAGAAATTATAAAATCATGAATGAGGGTTCATTAAATATGTTTCAAACTTTTTCAGCCTTAACACAACCGCATTGCACTTCTTCATTCCATATGCTGTTGGAGCTTGTGCAAGGTTTGGTCCGAATCTGTTTTTTCATTTCTATGATCTTGTGCAATGACTCTACACAATTGTATGCTGATAAATCATGATCTTGTGAACTGTTTTGCAGTACCCGGATATCGAATGAATTAGGAGCTGGGAATCCAAAGGCAGCTAAAGGTACTGTTCGTGTTGTTTTGATTCTTGGAATTGTGGATGCGGTTGTTGTCAGCACTTTGTTGCTCTGTTGTAGGCATATACTAGGATATGCTTATAGCAATAACAAGGAAGTTGTAGATTATGTTGCAGAAATGATTCCCATCATTTGTGCATCGGTTAGCGCAGATAGTATACTAGGAGCTCTTGCTGGTGAGTTTCTATTTGCTGAAATAGTCCATGAATTGAAGCACCAGCATCTTCAATTGAGGACAAATATTAGCAATAAAATGGATTGTGTGTGCAGGGATTGCAAGAGGTGGAGGGTTTCAACAAATAGGTGCTTATGTGAACCTTGGAGCCTACTATCTTGTGGGAGTTCCTTTGGCATTGTTATTGGGTTTTGTCCTACATTTCAATGCCAGGGGATTCTGGATGGGTAGTCTTACAGGGTCTATTCTACAAGTGATTATCCTCGCTCTTGTTGTAACAGTCTTAACAGATTGGCAGAAAGAGGTTTGTTTTCAGTTTCAAGTAATAGTTAATTGGAATTATGAACACCTTATGATTTTGACTTAATAATTTTTCTTTAGCTCTTTTAGTTGCCTTTGCATCCAAATGATTGCATTTTGTGGTTACTGCAGGCAACAAAAGCAAGGGAGAGAATAGTTGAGAAGTCAAGTAATGCTCATGATGCATTGGTGTGAAATTTTTGAAATCTAGTAGAAGAATAAAAGAGAGTAGAAGAAAAAGGAAGATACTACTGATTTAGAATGTCAAAATGAAGAATTTCAATGCTCTCGTGTTGTTTAAGTTTCATTACATGACCATGTTGCATAAAGAAATATATGATTTTTATCGAACATAATTAATAGGTCCTTATATCTACGCCATATATCTACAAAATGTTGTACAACGAAAATAATAAGAGAAATTTAAAATATAGTATGATAAACAAAAATAAATATATAAAATAATATTATATAAATTGTTGTTCGTGTTCGTTGTAATAGGCTTACAAAATATCAATGCATGTAAGAAAGTTAAAAGTCAAGTTTGAGCTTGTTAGCGCAATATGACTACTAAAAGCCCGTTTGTTTTTTCATTTGAGAGCTACAAAATCCATTTTATTTGAAAACTACAATTTATTGCAACTCAGTAAACGAAGCATTAGAATTAGAATGTGAGCATGTGGACTATGACCTATATAAATTACCTATTTTCTATAGGATAAAAAATTTAAATAAATTAAATTAATATTTAATTACAAGATAAAAATCTATATTTACAGTAGATAAGTTTTTATCAAAAAAATTTGTTAATATTTAAATTATATAAGTAATGTTAAAATATTCTTTTTAGTACTTATGATTTTACTAACTTTACCTTTCATTTCCTATAATTTAAAATAGATATTTTACTTACTTTACCTTTCATTTCCTATAATTTAAAATAAATATTTTAATTCTTATATTTATTTTTTTCGATCCTTTATAGTTTTTATAGTTTAATATATATATATTTTTAGTCCTTATACTTACAATTTTAAAATTTTGTCTCTATCTTTATTTTTTTTTCAACATTATATGTTTTGTGTTGATATAATAAAGGTATTAATTCAACTTTATTGTGTATTTGATATCAAACTTATTTCGTTGAAATTATTTTAAATGAGGTTTTTTGACGATTCTTTTTTATATCCTCACTCACTTATGATCTCAATTGTTAAAACACCTTTTTATATCAATTTAGAATAATTTTAATAAAATAAATTTAACATTAAGAATCAAAAATTGAATTAATATATTTATCATGTTAATATGAAAGAGACAACGTTATAGAAAAATAACAACAAATTTTTAAAAATTTAAAAAATTGCAAGAATAATGACTAAAAATATTTATCTTAAACTATATGAAATAAAAAGATTTTAAAAAATATATATAAAAACTAAAAATATTTATTTTAAACTATAAGAACTAAAAGATAAAATAAGTAAAATTATAAAAACTAAAAAAATATTTGAAGCTACAAATAAATATTGATATCATGTGCTAATCAATGTTTTAAAACTATTGGCATAAAAAAGATATTTCATACTGTTGTGTATTTTAAAAAAATAAACATGAAATGAAAGTGAAGAATACAATGTGAACAATTAACATAAATTGAAAGTGAACAATTAATATCAAGACAGTGTGAACAATTTTTAAATAGTCGTAGTCATAACTGTAATTTTTTTAAAAATAGTAAAGAGAAATAGAGTAGTTTACCAACAAAAGTTGGTCTATTTGATTTTGTAAAAAAGCACAGAAGAAAAAAAAACCTTATATTTCAAAAGAACGTTTTTTCAATTTTTGTTGTCGATATGATAATTTTATTAATAAATAATTTATAAGTACTTCTTTAAATACTTATTATTCTGATTTTGATCGGTTTTCGAAATTTAATTTATCTAAACTTTTAATTTTAAAAAAGATATTAAGTTTGAGTGATAATTACAATAGTGAGAACTGTCCAAAAGAAAAATATAATAGACTAAATTTTTATTAGCAATGTAATTTGAGATTTATTGTGCAATAAATTTGTTGGAAGAATTATTAATATTATAATTACATATTTATTTTATTATGCAGTAAATTTGATATTTGTTACGTAATAAATTAAATTAAATCTTTTGTAATTTAATATTTATTTTATTATTTAGGTACGTTAATTATATGGGTCTGAGAAGGAAATATTTAGGAAGAAGTATTGAAAGTAAATATGTAAACTTATTTTTTCAATTTTTTTTGACAAGTTAATCCAACAACCCATCCTTAGACGAGGTGGACCAAGATATCCAACTCAATTTTATTTAAGTTAATGACGAGCCAACTTTCCATCCTTATGTAGAGGTTTATGATGTGAGAACATGTCACAAGAAGATTTAATTTTTTATAATACAATTGTAATTGTTGCTCAAGATTATATTTAACATTTAAGAAAAATGATCTTGATATTTGTAACTTCTTAAGTCACTTGAGTGATTTAGGTTAAAAAAATAATTTTAGTTTAACATCTTTGTTTTTTTTATTGGAGGGTTAAATAATATCGTAAGTTTTTGATTGAGTTGTGATTAACTGATTTTGGTAGGTGCATAGTAATTAATTTCGGATAATAGAGCACAACAACCAATCCCAAAAGTGGGATAATGAGATTATGGATAGTGAGATGATTGCTATTTTAATCTTATATTTATTTATATTAAATAACTAATAATATATATAAACTAACAAAAACACAAAAATAACTCTAAATTCATGTATTGGTTGTTTTCAACAATAACAAGGTCATAGTAATCAAACAAAACATAACATAAAATGTCTAGAAAATAAAGTGTTAAAAGCTCTAAGTAAATGCAAATATAAAACATTAAATTTCAATATTTTTCCTCGTCAAGATTAAAGTCTTCCTCTCCTTCAAATTTATCGCTTCCACCAGCATTAGAGTTATATTTTTCCTTTACTTCATCTTCATATAATCCTCTTCTTCCACTATTTTCATCACTTTTTCTCCTTTTCTTTCTTGGATGTAGATACAATTATTTTTGTCTTCTTCACTCATGTTTGTCTCCTAGTGTAAAAAACGAAAAATGAAAGAAAAAAGAGAAAGAAAAGCCAATTATGATCCAAGAATAGCAACAACAGTAACTGTAAGTGAGTTTTGTGCCGAGATTAATTAAAGCTTTCCACATTTTGACTAAATATATCCTCATGTTAAGTAACTCATTTTTGTGTTATCTCCACTAGTGAATGACATATTGAAATAACATTCTTGTATATTTTGTAGTACCCGGGTTTCAAACGAATTAGGAGCAGGAAAAGCACGGGAAGCTCGAGAGGCTGTTTGTGCTGTAATTGTTCTAGCATTCACAGATGCAATTGTCCTTAGCTCTGTACTCTTATGTTTCCCTCATGTCGTAAATTCTGTTGCAAAGCTAGTTCCCCTGCTTTGTCTCTCTGTCAGTGTGGATGGTTTTCTAGGAGTTTTGTGTGGCAAGTTTTGATCATTGAATGCTATGCTATATCATGATTAATTTTGCAATGAACATAGATTTTTAAAAGGGGTGACAATCATTTCACTCAAAGAATGAATGAGGAATTGTGAGAGGCAGTGGATGGCAGAAGATAAGGGCAATTACCAATCTTGTAGCATATTATGGTGTGGGAATCCCTGTGGCTTTATTGTTTGGTTTTGGTCTTTGTTTCAATGGTAAAGGCCTCTGGATTGGAATACTGACAGGGTCTACACTTCAAACAATAACACTTGCTTTCTTAACAGCATTTACAAACTGGGAAAAACAGGCTCTTATATTACTTCATATGTTTTAAGCTAATTGTAAATTCATTTTATTTCATTGCCTTACATCTTGTCTTGCCAATTAGTATTAGACATCAAAACATAATCCAATATAACCACAGTTGCAATATCCTTTATTTTTTCTGCTTCATGGGAAAATGTCAGCAGTTCTTAATTATGTTACTAGCAAATTTACAAGTTTTTGTTAAACCTATCATTTGCAGGCATCCTTGGCAATTGAGAGATTATCCGAGCCTGATGAGGGTTAGTTTGTTTCTTGAAAATGAACGGAACAAAGGTTTTGTGTCACTTCTTTTTAATATATTATATTATTTTATGTATTATTAGGTGAAATTTATGTAAACTAGGTTGATTTCACTTTCTTAGCAAGACCTACCTATACCGTATGGTGGCCGAAACGCCCGAATACCCGAGATCGTTGACCGTATAGTGGCCGAAACGCCCGAATTCCCGAGATCGTTGATTATGCCGAGTACCCGAACCCGCCGACCACCCCTACATGGGGTGAAGCGGGTCGGCGGAGTCGGCCGAGTCTGTCGACATCATCTAGATGGTTACGGAGAGATTAATTAATATAATGCACAGGATTAAACCCCTAATTTTCCGGGGCCCAGTCCCTAATTGCAGCCCAATAAGAACCACTATAAATAGGACCTCAACGAGGTACGTAATTAATTCTGAACTACCGCATTTATTACGCCGAACACTAACTTGAGCGTCGGACTGTCTTTGCAGGCACACCTCCTTCGGACTACCCGGATTGGAACAAGAAAACAGAGACCGAAGACCCGACCCGTCACAACGAAGATAATTGAAGTGTGTATCCTCAAACAGGAACACTACCTAATATAACAGAATGTGTTTGGAAGTAATTTTGGGGGAGTGACAATGTCATCTGTTACTTAGTACTTTTGTTAACGCTACGTTGTGTGAGAGTTTTGATACTTGTTTTGATGAAAAATATATGTGCGGTTAGTATAAAAGTTTTTTATATTGATATATAATTATTAATGTCATAGTTCTTTTAACAACTAATGTCATATAATTAATGTTTTTTGTTTTTATAAAAATTATTTTAAAAGTTATATCATGATTAATTTTTAATTAATTGATATTATAAAAAAATATATTAATATATTTTATCAAAATCAAATCCTTAAATGAAAACAATATTCATTTTTATCCGGATACTGTATTTGTTTTATCCTAAATGAACAAAGTCAAAATATGATATTATGTGATTTCATACAAATGTTTCACGAAAGTAATATAATTAATTAAATCTCTTTATTTCTATTATTTAGGGCTTATAATGGTAGATGTTTCTACTGTAAGTTTGTTGTCATCGTTAGGGTCATCGCATATGAAGTATTGTCCATTTTGACACTCATTTTGTCCTTTAAAAGGTGTCTCGATTGATATCTTTAGCCTCAATTCCTAAGCGATGTAGAACTTTTAGACATACCGAAACAATAAACTTCTTATCTTATATCTTTTATTCATGTAAAGTTGTGGTAGAGATAAATTGCTTTAATTTGAAATTAAAAAAAAATGTAATTTCATCCAAATATGTATTGCGTTCTTTTTCAAGGAGGTTAGTTTTGCTGCATATCAATATAAGAGTATTCATGAATTTACTCAATTAAAAATTACGATTAATGTAATTTTTAAAATTATTATTATAAAAATAATAAACTAATCGAATCGTGGTATAAAAGTTATTTACAATATATATATATATATATATATAATGTGCGCGCGTGTCTGAGTTAATCACTTATACATTATAAGTATAAAAAAAATTTACACCAACAAATAATCATATTTTTTAATAGTGTCATGTTATTTATTTATTTTATTAAATAAAAATAAAATAAAATAATTTAAAAGATATGATTAGTTAATAATGTAAAAAAATTTACACTGATAATTTATGGATGATTAACTAATATATATATATATATATATATATATAATTTTCTCCTTTTTGAGAATTAAGTTATAAAACCATTTTTTTATGATGTTCAATTACTGCTGACCGTACATAATGGAATTCAATTTATTACATTAACATTCCCAGAATGTGTTGGGGGAATCATTGTTCACACTATTAAGTGGGTACAAGAGAAAACTTTAGACCGTTTTACTAGAATAATACTATTGGGGACATGAACATGTGTGTGGTCATATCCATCCATCCTCACAGAATAAACAAATCAATTAAACCAGCTGCATTCGGCTTCGGCCTGTATTAAGCATAACATCCTTACCCAAATAATATTGAAAGCTATACAAGACCAGTAACATCATCACCATCAAAAGCAAACTAGAAAAAAGGGTATTGAAATAAGAGAAAATTAAAGAGGTATACCAAGAAAAATCACAACCACACCTACGTCGTCTTCAGGAAATTCGTATGTGGTCCCTTTATACCTACTATATGTGATGCATGTGAGTGTGTAAATAAGGAAATAATGCTAGTTAGTTATAAAGTAATCAAAGTGAAACAACGATAACATTGATGAGATATATAAATGACATCAACTAATACCCATAGATCATACTAGCAAGCTATAGAGAAGAAAAATGTTAAACTATATACCCATACAAGTAGAGGTAGATGAAAGTTGAAGTGTGATGACAGAAGTATAGAGAGCACAGAGGAGTGAAATACCATGCTAATATCATTCCCTTTCGTGCATTTCATCATCTGTGCTTTCTATCTTCTGTCAACAACGATCATTACTAACATCTTACACCTCTTCTCTAATTGATGTAAAAGTAAAACTAATGATAGTGAAATTAACATGAAATTAAAATAGAGAGAAAGACCAAATTTCATATGAAAGTTCGGAATTGGATTCTTGTCTAACAGGAGGAAGAGACCTTAGAGCTATTGCCACGGAAATATATGTATCAAATGGCCCTATTTATAGAGGGAAAATAATGCAACCGTTCTTTCCC